CGTAAACGTCGTCATTGGTTCAGGTATGACGTACACCCGTTACCTGACGTCAGCGTCAGAAAACGGGTGAACGTCATACCTGAACCAATGACGACGTTTACGTTGTCAGTTGTGCGACGCGTACTCTCCTAACAAACCGTACCTTAACAAACCGTACCTTTAAAGTACGGTTTGTTAGGATAGTACGCGACGCACAACTGACAACGTAAACGTCGTTATTGGTTCAGGTATGACGTTCACCACAGCCTCCTACATTTAACAAGCCATGAAGTTAAAAAGGCAACACCGCAATCTTACCGCCAAGTGGTGCTGGTGGTGTTTGTTTTTATAAATATATATTTTTTATTTTATTAATATGAATCACAAAAAATGCATAATTTATTGTACTAAAGGGCCAAAAACAGTAATTCAATGAATAACATAACTATTTGTGTAAATAAGAACTGTAAATAATTGATTTAAATAAATATATTTCTAGAGTCTAAAGTGTTATAGGCCTATGTTTCAGTATGTCTTTTGAAAATCTAACTTTTTCTTTCTTCGGGATTTTTTCGGAAGGCAGGTCCATTCAAATACTTGAGCTGATTTTCGAAAATAAGAGGTACCTACTTTTAAGAGTTGGACGTTTTAGTTTGAACTCTCGAACTTCGCCTTTATCCTTGTTTGTTTCAAATCTAATTATTTCGGTTTCTTCAAAATGTTTACAACACACACCACAGAATTTTTCGTTATTGTATAATCTCGGGTATAATTATCTTGGTGTATTGCTTTCATCCACATTTTTTGCAATTCAGCATTTTTTTGGAAATGAAAATGTTTGCATTTCTTCAGTTTTTAAGGAACTCCTAATAGTTCGATTTGCACCCAGGAACACAGTAGTTTCATGGCATCTGGAACAAGTTTAAATATCTTAGGTAATATATCGAGACCTATGCTCTTGCAGACAAATATTAATATTGTTTTTATTGTTTTACCTTACCTTACCTTCATTTTTGCTCCTGTACCCATTTACTAAAAATTTGCAATCAAAGCACAAAGGAACAGGTATCAACTAAATATGGGCAATATATTGGTGTGTTTCTATCCACTTTTTCGTCAATAATGCCCACAAAAATACTAAACTGCAACAATGAAAGCAATACACAGAAACACATAACCCAATAACAAAATAGCACCATACGCGACCTTGCCGTCATTTCCAACTTCATGGCTTGTTAAGTATAGGAGGCTGTGCGTTCGCCCGTTTTCTGACGCTGACGCTGACGTCAGGTAACGGGTGTACGTCAAACCTGAACCAATGACGACGTTTACGTTGTCAGTTGTGCGTCGCGTACTATCCTAACAAACCGTACCTTAAGCAGGACGCGCACTTGATCGACTCGGACCAGGCGACTCGGACCAGTCGACTCGGAATAGAGCGATCGGAATATCAACATTAGCCGCGCATTGAATTCGCATTCCCGGCAGTCGTCCGCCAGTTCTCGAGTATAGAGGAGCAGAAAATGATAAAAATGACGGATTCTTCAGATTTTGACGAAGATTTGAGAATAGCTCTAGGGTGTCATGAAATTGAAAGAGAAATGCGGAGGCTAAGGTTCTGAGTCCATAATATAAATTTGAAAAGGAAGGTCTACGGAGAATTCTACCATTTGTTATTTCCCGACTGGCTAGGACATGAGGAAAAGTTTTTTTAATATTTAAGAATGTCTAGTGGGAAGTTTTATGCGGTTTTGAAGATACTGCCGCTCCAGAAGCAGGAGCATACGGCAGTTTTTGCCCCTTCAAGCAATCTCCGTTTTTGCCGAGTCGAGTCGACCACCTTGAGTCGACGAGTCCGATGCCGTGCGCGGAGCCTCATTTAATTTCATGAGTATCAAAAACTGCCGACTGCTCTTTGCCGAGTCGACCGGTCCGAGTCGATTCAGTGCGTGTCCTGCTAAGGCTTGTACGCGACGCACAACTGACAACGTAAACGTCGTCATTGGTTCAGGTATGACGTACACCCATCTTCTGACGTGAGAAAACGGGTGTACGTCATACCTATGGTCATACCTGAACCAATGACGACGTTTTTATTAACTCCATCCTGTGACTCCATCTGTGGAAAATAAATTTTTGGGTCTCTGGAAAGACAATCGTCTGAAATTTGAAGCACACTTGAAGTATTTGAGGAATAGGTTGGCATCTAATTGTTTTGCACTTAAAGTTATTTCTAGGGAACTGGAACCATGTATTGCCAGAAATACTTATTTTGCGCTGATAGAGTCTCATTTAAGGTATGGGCTGTGTTTCTGGGGTACTTGCTCTAAGTAGTTATTTGATGGTATTTTTTTGCTGCAGAAGAGAGCAATTAGACATTTATGTGGAGCCAACCAACGCGATTCTTGCAGGCCGCTATTCATTTCTAAAAATATTTTGACTCCCTGCATTATTTGTGTTAGAATCGGTCTGCTTAATTCACAGGAAACACAAAAGCAGTATATTGGAAACTGGAAACTACAAACGTATTAGAACTTAATGAAATCTTTAGAGGAATAAAAAACAATAAATCCAGTGGGCACGATAATGTTTCATTAAATTTGCTTAGAAACTTGCCTGATAATGCATTATATGTCTTGTCTGAATGTATTAATATTTCATTTTTAACAGGAGTATTTCCAGACTGCCTGAAAAAAGCTATTGTGTTGCCTGTTTATAAGGGTGGCGATTTGGACAACCCATGTAATTATCGACCAATATCACTTCTCTCGACGTTGTCAAAAATAGTTGAAAAGTTAGTTAAAGAAAGAATGTTGAAATATTTTTCAAAACACAACATAATAAGTGACACTCAATTTGGATTCCAACCATTAAAGGACACCCATGATGCAATGTTTAATCTTTTGGAACAGGTATTCGTCAGTCTTAATGAAAGTGAGCTTGTCTCCGTTGTGTTTTGTGATTTCTCTAAAGCCTTTGATTGCGTAAATCATAAAATAATGCTTAAAAAACTAGAAATTTATGGCTTCGGAGGAATCTCATACTCATGGTTTGAATCTTATTTCTCGGGAAGAGAACAATTTGTTAAGATTGGAGATACTCAGTCATCAAACTTGGCTGTGACCAATGGTGTCCCACAAGGATCTGTGTTGGGACCAATATTGTTTTTACTTTATTTAAATTATATTAATCACTTCCCCATTAGAGCTAAAATAACATCATTCGCTGATGACATTACTCTGTCCTGGAACGGAAAAAATATTGAAGAGTTGAAAAAGATTATTTCTGAAGACCTAAATCTTGTAAAGAGCTGGTGTGACTCTAACTTGCTTTGTTTTAACTCTAAGAAAACCAACATATTGACATTTAAATTTTTTTTTGATGATTTATTATTAGACACGCACACAATTGAAAATAAAACTAGCTGTAAATTTCTTGGTGTTCATGTTGATACTCAACTTAAGTTTAATGAGCACGTTACAAATCTAAACAAACGATTGGCAAGTGGTTGCTATGCTGTAAGAATAGCGTCAAATGAACTTGGTTTGAATACTGCTAAGTTGGTTTATTTCTCGTTGGTTGAATCTCATATCAGGTATGGCATTGCATTTTGGGGTAACTGTTCTAATAAATTGTTTGATTCTGTTTTTGTCATTCAAAAGAGAGCAGTGCGCTATTTGTGTAAGGTTGGATATTGGGAGCATTGCAAGCCACTATTTTTAAAACATAAAATACTTACAGTATGCTGTATATTTATCATGGAAACTGCTTGCCTTATGCACAAAAAACCTTATGATGAGTTAGAATATCCAAGAACTTATCCAACTAGGCAACTTCTTAAAATTCAGCTTCCTATACCCAAGACTGCATTGGCGCAAAATTCACTAATTTATAAAAGTAGGCAAATTTTTAATCATCTGCCTGTTAACTTAAGGCAGATAGGTGGTTTTAAAAAGTTTAGACTAGAGCTCAAAACATTTTTACATGGAAAAGCCTACTATCATATTAATGAATTTTTAAATGAAAAATTTTAATTTTGTTTGTTTCATTGTTTTGTTTTGTTCTGACCGCAACCTTTATGTTTTTTCTGTATTGGCTGTACCTTCTATATGACTCTATAGTTTGATGTAGTAAAAATTGTACATGTGTTGCTTAGGATTATGCTTTGATATTTATGTTTATGTTTATTTTTTATTTTATTGATTGTACCTCTTTTTGTTTTTTTATAACCCGATAATTTTTAATTACTTGCACATTATTTAAGATCATGATTTGTCAATATATATTTATTTTTCCGACAATAAAGTATATTTTGATTGATTGATTCATATCGCATACAACCTATACTATAATACTCGACAGAAAAATGTTGTTAGCCTTCCTATACCCACGTCCAGCCAGGTAAGAGACTCTATCATTTTCAGAAGTCGCAAGTTGTTCAATCATTTGCCGACGGGTCTTAAACAAATAAAGACTGAAAGACAGTTTCGTAAAGGCGTCAAGGCGCTGCTTGCGCAAAAGACATATTACGAAATTGACGAATTTCTGGCGGACAGGTTTTAGATTTTTTTTTCTGGATTGTTCTGTTTATAGTGTGCGTTATAGTTGTTAATTTGTTTTATTGTTCAAACTTCTGAGTCCGTTGTCTTTTTTTTTTAAATTTTATTTTTGTTTTATTTTTTAAAGACGACTGAAAACGACTGATTTTTAGTTTTTAAGGCAATAATAATGGTAGATTGTGACAGGAACAGTATTGTTTTAATAAGGAATTTAAGACATTTAAAACATTTTTTCTCATGTTATGATTATGACATAGTATAAGTAGTGATGTTAGTTAATAAGGCTGCTTTGTCAATAACAATTTAGTTGAGACAATAAAGCATAATTTGATTTGATTTGATTTGATATTTATATCTATAATATCATTCAAATCATTATAGAAACATTGGCTCAATTGATTCAAATTTTTCAATAATATTGTTCAAACAAGCTGAATATAATTTCACCCTTTAATTTAGTTTCTGGTCAAGACCTTCTATCAGCAAAACTATATTATATCAAAATCCATATGGAAGATATAAATGAACTAGGCCCAAACTTTTTCATCATTCCAGCATACCTTCATCCTCTTTTCATAACATAATACTGAGAAGAAAAGCCATTCTACATTCTTGTTTCCCAGTCTCCACAAAAAAATATTCTTTCTAAAAAAAGGATACAAGAAAATTAAAGTAGACAATTTGCATAATAATTTTAATAACCATTATATTATACATATCTACTTTCTACGTTGCTGTCCTTTTCCTCTACCCTTTCCCTTCCCCTTTCCCTTTCCTTTTCCTTTGCCTTTCTTTTGCCTCTGCTTTTTCCTTTCCGCTATCTCTCTGGCCTTCAATATTTGATCCATACTCTTCATTTCCGACTTCTTCTGCTTCATCTGCACCTTTTCGTTGTGTTTTGCCCAATGAGTGTAGCGTTTCGGTTTATTAAGATCTGAAACACGAATTTTTATATTAGAAAAAACCAAAAAGAAACATGAAATTACTTTTATTTGGGTTATCTTCATCATCATCATTATCTTCATTATTTTCTGAAGCTTTGGTTTTTTGTTTCCATTGCGCATATCTGTCGCTCTTGTAAGTTGCCGGTATCCAAGCTCCGCTTTCTGTTTTTATTTTGCTCTTTTTAGGATTCTGAAATAATATTTCAATTAAATAAATCAAATGATTGATATTCCTAATAAGATCCTTACATCAACAGTTATCATCTTTTTCCTATTCCTATCCCACTTCTTTATCGTCTTATTGAGTTTCATTGCTTCTTCAGAATCTCCAGTAAGATCAAGTTGAGCCCTGCTTGCTTCATTTTGGAAATTATTTACTGTTAATCTAAAATATATATATTTTTAAATTATTGTACAAATGTAATTTTGACTCAAGTGTTCTTACCCATCTTCAGTGTGTTTATCATCTGGCGCATATGGTATGTAAACTTGTTCACCAGTTTTTTGTTTCTTGTTTTTCTTGTATAGCATCTCCATTTTTCTTTTTTTGGGAACTATAATGCTCTTGAAAGTGTCTTGTATATCTTCATTTGTACTACCTAAAATAAGGGATTAAATTCTAATATCAAAGTAATGCTTATTATATAAACTTACCAGTTAACAAACTAGCAGGTTTATTAGGAATCTTGTTTTCAGACATTTTTACTTGCATCAGTTTTTTATGGGAATCAATTTTTTCTTTGTGAAATGCCCTTTTTTCTTTCATAGTCAAATATTCTTGGGATTTATTTTTTCCGCAAATTTCAAAAATAGTCTAAAAGAAAAACAAATACATATAATTTTTTGAAAAATTGTAAAAACAATATTGCTTACTCCTTGTGGTCTATAACTTTTCATTTGATCCAACAAATTCTCTCGCTCAACGACACTATTTTCACTTCTACCTTTAAACATAGGATGAAGAGAACACATATTAATTGGAAGCTCTTTAATTCTTCTGTTACTATCTGATGAAGCTGCTGGCCTGGTTTTTATATATTGTTTGTAGGCATTATCTATTGTTTTTTGTGCGGCTTCCAAATCAACACTAATTTCATGTAACGACAATAAAGAACTAAGCTGATCTTCGATTAAATCTTGTGGCAATCTTCCAATGTTGCCTCGTTTATTTTCTAGAGTAACTATAGACATCGGTTGTCCCAAAAACAAATGCAAATCCAATAGATATGCGTATTCATCTGGTGCTACCAATGAATATGCTATACCTGATCTTCCAGCTCTGGCACATCGACCTGAAAAATGATATGAATTTAGAACTAACTCAACTTAATAAGGATAAAAGTATTCTTACCGACTCTGTGCACAAATAACTTGGACTTGGCAGGAAAATTAAAATTAATTACGTTGTCCAATTGAGGTATATCGATACCTCTAGCAGCTACATCAGTTACAATTAAAACTTTCACTTTTCCAGTACTAAATTTGGCTGCATGAATTTTACGAGCTGAAGGGTCCAAGTTGGAATAGATGTATGTATTTGTGATACCTAATTGATCAAAAATCTATAAAAATATGTTGTTTTAAGATATAGCTAGGAAATATTTGGATAATGTTTACCAAATGAAGATATTCCACATGATGTTTTGTTGCAGCAAACACCACTGTTTGCTCTTTCGCATTTATAACATTTCTCAACAGAACTAATAAAGCAGGCAATTTTTCTTCAGGCCTTACAACTAAAAATTCTAATTTTAGTTCTTCTGGAAGTTTTGACTCTACATCCAACCTAAAATGTATTTATATTATTATTTTATGCACAACTCAGCAGGCAATACGTTTTATGAATGGACGATACATAAAAATATATGTCAGTTTATGGAGGCATTTTCTTAGAAGAGCATAAAGTGGATGCCACAGTAGACTAGACAAATGTTAGCCATATAAACATTGCTTAAAAATATGAAATGTTATTTTCAGTACAATAGATAATATTGATTAGTTATTATTCTTTACCTTAGCAAAACTGGATCACTAAGACCAGCTTTAGCAAACTCGACTAAAACTTTTGGTAACGTTGCGGAAAACAGTACAGTTTGTCTCGTACTAGGTAAACGTCCAACAATATCAGTTAGTTGTTCACTTAAACCCATCTCAAAAAGCCTGTCAGCTTCATCAAATACAATATATTCTATGCTGCTTAATTTTAGATCCATTTCGATGCAGACATGCAAAAATCTACCTAAAAGTAAAGAAATTGTAGATTTTAATTTGCTATACAAAATTAATTATGTTTTACCTGGAGTGGCGACTATAACATCTGGATTTCCATGAATGGCAGAGAATTGATCTTCCATTGAGTCTCCGCCAAGAATTACTGCCGATTTCAGTCCAGTAAATCTGCCTATTTCTTTAATAAATTTTAGCGTCTAAAAAACAATTATTAGAACAAGTTTTTAGGTAACTACTGTCCTACCTGCAATGCCAATTCTCGAGTGGGTGACAAAATTAACGCTCTAGCGCCTGCTTTGGCACTTCTAACTTTCAATTTCTCAAACATGGGTATGAGAAACGCAGCAGTTTTTCCACTACCAGTTCTGGCCATAGCAACTACATCTCTGCCTTCAACAATCAATGGAATCGTCTGGAAAATGAGAACAGCTTTTAAATCGTTACTGAGTTCATTACCAATATGAGGTGCATCAACCTCATAGTGAGCCTGAATTTTTCGCTGATGAAAAAAAGGTCTTTTTCTATTTGGAAAATGCGTAACTGAAAAATCTCATAGACCCCGCAAACTGCCCAAACAGTCACATAATCTATGTATAAAGTAGGATCGGAAGAGAAAAAAAAAATGCACATATTAATCAAGGTGAAAAGGTATAATGAGTAACAAAATGAAATTGGATTTTCATAGGAATTTTGCAGGGTTTGTTTGTAGTCCTCTACTAGGAAAAGAATCGCTGAAAATTTCAGCTTTCTTTCTATGGTAGAAAAAAAGTTCAAGTTTAGTCTTCCTTGCAAAATGGTCAAATTTCAAATTCTTTTGTGTGGAGATTTTAACTTTAAACGATCAACAGGGACCCCAGAAACTCCATATACAGTGATTTATTCTGGGATTTGAAGCCGAAATATAAGAAAAAAGGATGTCAGGAAAATTGAAGAATCCAAAAATTCACCCTAAATTCCTTAACGCGCCTGCGCAGTGTCTTATCTTTCGAACAACTGTTCTAAATTTTGAAATTCCTTCATTTTCATTAGCCAGATTTTGTGCACACACAATACATGTATCTACTGCGCACGCTTACAGCTGTCCCAGTCAGTTGTTTTTGTTTAGATTTTGACCTCGTAAATTAGCAGCATTCTTTGTTTATCCATTTATTTTTGAGATCAGTGGATTTTTTTCAGGTCTAAATGTGTTGAAATTTTGCAGAGTTTATAGTCCTCGAGGCAGTCCTCTACTAGGATAAGAATCGCTGAAAATTTCAACTGTCTATCTATGATGCGTTATTGAAAAAGTTTTGATGTAAACGCACCTAAATCTAAAAATGGGCTATAGATGGATGAGCTCTGTATATCAACTCAATGAAACTTGCTCGGTTTACACAGCAATCACAGCATAATTCAAAAATAAATTGCTAGATGTTAATTTTGTCTTTTTAGGATTTAAGATACTATTTGATTGAATTGAAACCAAAATTGTAAATATTGTATTATTCCATTTGTGTGTGTGCCTCAGATTCATTTCCGATTTTTATGTTCCGACTTCTCCAAGGTGTTTGACAGAATTGACAATCAAATTCTGGAAAAACAGCTTAAAAGTATAGGGTTTCATCAAAGGTTTCATGGATCCTTTTAAAGGTGACTAATTAACCACACAAACTAGAAAACTCATTCTCATCTGGGTATGTGTCCCCTCACCTTGTCAATATTTTCTTAGATGATGTTAAAAATGTGTTTAAACACTATGAATTTCTCCTCAGTTTTATTGATGACAAGAAAGTCTTTTGCTCGGTCTTTTGTCATTATAAAAATAAAAAATATCCATGACTGTGAAATTTTACAAGGGGAACTTGACCATTTCTTTAACTGATGTGAACTATTAATAGGGTTGGGTAAATTTCACTTTTCACTTCATCTGGAAATTTCACTCTGAAATTTTCATGGAAATATTGAAATTTTTGAAATTTCCGTGAAATTTTCAATATTTCCGAATTTTTCTGAAAATTTCCAAAATATTATGAAATTTTCAAAATAAAAATGATTCACTATGAAATTTTCAATGAAATTTCATAAAATTCCATGAAATCTATATATATAAAAATGAATGACACTTTTCGTTGTAATTTTATAACTCAAGAACGGACTCACCTAGCCAAACCAAATGTTTAGGTTTTGTTCAGACTATTTATTAGATGGTTTATGTAAAGTTTGCACAAAATCGGTCGAGCGGTTCTTCATTTATCACATTTTTTGTGATAAATGAATTATTCAATAAATGGAGGATCATTTTGTTAATGGGGATTTTGCTGTCAAATTGAAAGTTTTTTCAGCGTTGACAGTACCAGCATGTTGTTATGTCATTAATGTGGTCATTTCATTACTTATTCTATTTATTTATGAAAAAAATTTACTAAGCCCACAAAACATCCCCCCTTAGAAATGTAAGTCTTATGAGAGACGTCAGTCCACCGTCAGTCTAGTCGTTTCAGCTTTCCCCTCCAATCACTAGAGGCGCTTCAATCAACCTATTCAAGTTTTCTTTTTCCTGCCGGACCGTGCGCCAAGATTTGAAGTTTATTTTGTCATTTCCAGTCGTCAAAATTTAAATTTTGAACTTCTTCCAACATTTAGAATTATCAATTACCTATCAATTATCAATAATTATTATCTCAAAATGTCTTCTCCCAGTTTGTTAATTGAAAAGCATCAGAAATGCTGTGTTCCGGGGTGCGGCGACAAATACAGCAGCTATTTCCGGTTTCCAAAAGATGCCGAAAAAATGAAACAATGGCTAATAAAAGTTCGCAATCCTTTACTAAATAGCCTCAGTGTCGAGAAGGCTTATAATAATTATAGAGTGTGAACAAGACATTTTCCTCGAGAATTTATTGTTGGGGATCCAAAAGCCAGACGAGGACTCACATGGAATGCTGCGCTTTTGCTGTATCTCCCTGAAGGTAAGTTAATACTAGATATATGTGAGAAAGACGTACTTACATTTTCACTTACCCCTCCCCATAGTTCTGATTAACGACAACGTGTTAGAATTCGGGTTTAAAGGAGCATAGGTCAGAAACATTAAAATTAATTTTAATTTTAGCCCCAATTATCAAAAACAGTGAGGAGTCGTTAATTGATAAACCACAATCACCAAAATGGCAAAAAGTGGAGATCGACACAGTTGAAACTCGTAAGAGTCCTAAGACGTCTTAAGAAATTAGCTTCGCAACTATGATTGACATAGGTAGGTAAACATAATAACTCTGTTCCAACACGTCAAAAAATCGTCCCATGAACGGTTTCGAAACCACTCAGTATAACAATTTTAGTTTCTGCGCAGAATCGTGACGGTACATTGTACGGTTTTCTGCTGTGTTGGAACAAAGCTAATATTATTCATTTCTTTTTTTTTAATGTTTATTCCTTTATCAGGCGACACAATAATTAAAATATTCCTGGTTACATACAGGCACACCATATTCTACAATGCGTGTATCCAAACTTTTTTGATAGAATCATTGGTAACGAAATTTCTGTTTTAGATCAACCAGGCCCTTCATGTCGTCAATTTTTATCTACTGAAACTTCTGCAATTCGGGCAGACATTGCTACACCAAGTAGAACCATCACATCTGCAAACATGAAAAAGTCTCTTAAAACTTTTATTGGTAGGTACCTAAGTGTTATTGCTTAATGAATAACCACCCAGTTGGGAGTAGGTGAATTTTAAAACATCCTAACTCAAGTAGGACTACTACTATAAAAGACTACTAATTACTAAAACTTGCAGTCGAATGCTAGAAAAATTAGAAGCTAAATGTGCGAAAAGCTCGTCTCCAATCTTGATCTATTTTTTTTTTGCAGAGACGATGCCAAATTTTAAAGAACATTAACGTCACTAAGCAAAAATTCCTATCCCCAAGGGAAAAATATCTTTATTCCAAAGTTATAGAATCCAGCAATAAGTTAAGAAGAATCAGTAGAAGGGTGTCGTCATTTAAATCCAAAGTTTCTGCGGCTGAATAACTTGCATCATAAACCAAATTTCAAAGGCTCGTAGACCACGTCAATCCATTGATATACAGCTTTATTTTAAGCCAAGTCCGTACTCAAAACCAAAAGCCTAAAGCTAGACGATTTACATTGGACGAGAAGTTGTTGGCGTTCTCTTTGCTTAAAGCTAGTGGTAAAGGGTATAGACTATTATCAAAAATATTTATTCTATCATCCAGCAGTGGCGGCTCGTATAATAAAAATGTGGGGGTTGCAATTTCAATGGTACAATCCGGAAAAAAAAATAGGAGGGGGGGGGGATCGAATATCTATATACAAAGAGGAGTTGATTAAAAATTATTTATCATATAAGGATGAATAGGTACTCACATAACCAACTTTATTAATCAAGCTACTTAATTTACACAAGATGAACACCTAATATTGAGACTCAGGTTGGAGTTACCCAATTCCTTAATTTCTTATATTTGTCCTTAATCCTTAATTCTTAAAAAGTTCAATGTATTCAACATTGGTATTTTTAATGATTTAGAATTAAGAACAAAAATTAAGAATTATTAAGGAATTGGATAACCCTGGCCTTATTTAAAGAGAAAATCCATACGCCGATCTTTAGCCGCAGCAAACTTATCAATAACCCGCTGATTGAAATCGGGTATGCTTTCAATAAGGTCCTTTTCTTTAGACAGCATTGCCAAAGCAGAAAGTCTTTCTTGGCTCATGGTATTTCTTAAAAACGTTTTTATCCGTTTGAGAGTTGAGAAGCACCGCTCTGCTTCAGCTGACGCCATAGGAATTGTAATTAAAATTTTTAAGAGTTTTAGAGTTTCACTGAAAGTTTCACTTAGCTCGGTATTTTGAGAAATAAAGTCATAAATTGGAAGGAGTCCGGAAATTGATTTAAATTCTTCCGTATCGTAAATAACGGCCAATTCTGTACGGAGTTTTTGCTCAATGAAAAATGGGTAATTTTTTATTGCCTCTTTAAATTTCTGTTCAGGAAAACAGATACTGTATTGGTTGTATTGTTCCGGAAGAAAAAGATTGGCAGCCACTAAGTGGCCTGTGAAGTTAAATCGTTCTTTCGCTTGACATATAATAATATCACAAACTTCTTTTGCTTCTCGATAAAATTCCGCAGAGTCATCCAGGTTACGCCGTCTTGAAGTAGATGGAGATGGCTCAACTTCGTCCAAAGTGATGCTATTTCTAATTTCCGTCAACTTAGATTCAAAAGATAACATATATTTTGTTGCGGTAACAGCGTCAATTTGTACTGTTTGAAACTTGGCAAATAACAAGTCAACATGCGGCATGATCTTGTAAAATAAGTTTAGCCAGAAGACAAAACTTTTGCTTTTAAGAATTTTAACATAGCCTGCTGCTTGATTGGTAGTATTAACGTTT